TTTTCAGATTGAAATTTTTGCAATCTGAAACTGAACCGAAGTTGATCTGAACTGAAAATTTTCAGATTAATCTGAACCATTCAGAGCTTTAATCAATATTACTACATTAATGTTATAATCGATCATACATATTTTTTATTTTAACCTTTGCAAATTTCTATGTAATTTTATACTAGTTTCTTATATATACTATTATACTTCTTGTGTAAAAAAATCCTGGAAATACTTTTAGATATTGCAAAAACTTATTCTAATCTGCTTCATTTAGCTCTCCCTTAATCTTGAATTATAGATATAGACTTATGTGATTTTTCTAAAACATGTAAAAAAATTCAGCATCTTGATATCTCTTGCTATAAGCAGATTACAAATAAATATTTACTCAAAATTACACATAATAGTCTATCTTTAAAAGAATTTCATTTTTCAAGTGCTATCCAAATCACTAGCTTATCTATATGCTGTATTCTACTTTTTTGTCTATTTTTACAAGTCCTTAATATTTCAGATATTAATGGTAATAGCATCAGAAATAATATTCTCCTATTATGTTCAACTTTTCACAATTTACGTTCTCTTGATTTATTTGGCATTTTTTATTTATCAGATTATAATTTCATTCTCAATATTATTGATTCATCTCCATACTTAACTAAATTACATATGAGAGAATTTACTAATAATTTATTTATAAGATCCATTTTCTGTGATTATGATGATTGTTTTTCAACCTTTAAACTATTTGATCTAGACTTTTCTTATATCACTGACCAATTAATTAAACTCATTGTCAAATTATGCATCAATTTAGATTATTTAGATATTAAATATTAAATATTTCTAATAGAACTATCTAGTACATAGCTACCTCTTGTCTTCTAAGATATCTCAACTTGACTGGATATAATTCTATTACTATTAAATCCTTAAATTATCTCAAGATTCATATTCTCAGGATTGACCTTGATTTTGAAATACTTGATAAAGATTCTTGGTTCAAAACTAGTAGTGATGTAGACGATACTTGATATATTTGTATTGCTCTTGCTTCATTATATCCCTGTCCTTTTTTTCTATAATTGACTATCATATAACTTTTAGTTAAAGATTCATAGTTTCTCTTTTAAATGTCTGAGTACTTCTCTAATAATTATATCTGCATTTGTTAAATTTGTGGTATCATGTACTACCACTACATATGTCGCTTCTAATTTACGCAGATAACTTAAAAATAATGATTCATCTACGTCTGAAATAAATTCTTTTTTTTTTCAAAAATGCATTAAACTATTTTATACCATTTATCTTTAAATCTCCTAGCTTTTTGGATAAAATTTCTTTCTAAATCTATATTAGTAATTGTCTTGCTCTCTCTTTATTCTTCTCCAGCAATCAAAAAACTTGAGTTTTATCTGCTCCTTTATTTTTTGCATATCCAGTTACTCCTCTATTCTTTATACACAGATGTTGAATACATATAGAGCATTATCATTACATCTGTTAGGACTTATATGTCTGACGTGGTTGATACATCATATACATCCAATCTTTCTTGACTGATTCTAATGAAAAATGGTCTGGATAGTGTATTCCTTTATAAGCAGAATGTTCCTTATTTTTTCTTTAGAGTTCGTTTGATAGAATTGTTATGTTCTTGTTTAAGATCGCTTTTATTAGCTTATCTGATGCATGGAGTTCTTGTAATTCTTTCTTAAGGCTAGAAAGATATGAACCAGCAATTGGAATTAAGACTATTTCTACTAAAACTTTAGCAATTAACTTTATATATTCTTCATTTAGATTTTCTTAGACAATGAACTGTGATATTTCTTTAATCGTCTTTTTTTCTGATTTTAGTTCTGTCATTTTTCTAATTCCTTTTATACTTTTTTGGTAGAGTATTTTCTCAGCTATTTTAGAGATTTTTGAAAAATCAGTATATTTCTTTATGAATTCTAGAATGCATACTTCTTCAACCAATCTATTATGATATTTAGCAAGTTTTATATTTACTATAATAGGGTCATCTTTAGTATCTATTGCTTCTACTATTTGTAAGGCATATTTCATGGCAAAACATTTATCATTGATTCATGTCACTTCTTTTACCATTTTTTTAATGCTGGGGTGTTTTCCTTTCTCATTAAACATGAGCACTTCTATCTGTTCTTTATTGTATCTTTATTGAGATAAACATCTTCTGACATATTTACGAGCATCGCTATCTAGTAGTATTAGTATTAACTCGTTAGTATATTTTTTTAATTATTCTAGCATTTAATTGCTCAATAAATTATGCTTCTTTA